ATCGTGGGCTTATACGTAGGTCTTGACATGTAACATTAACGGTTGTGTATATATATGCATGCTCGTGGTCTGGAACCATGAGTCCTCGTCCCGGCGGGCAATCAGAGCACCAATGAATCCCACTTATTATAAAGTGAACCTGTATGTACACTCTCTAATTCATCCGCAGCCGTATATCTTTAATCAGAGGAATCTGTAACTTGTCGTGAATTTGTACTGTACATACATTACATGCATACAGCCCTGAGCTCTGTCACACACACACGCAATTATTAGTCCTGAAAGAAAGAAAGAAAGGAGGAAAGAAAGCATTATATCCATTGCAATTGCAGCATATCGTGTACCTACCTGATTCGGTAACCCCAGCGTCCGAATATTTTCACTCTTTAGTCTCCTGCACTAAAAGATCCAAGCCGGTTAAGTAGGTACCTATACTTATCAGTATGTAAGTAAAATGTACATACCTGGAAGTCAAAAAAGGAAAGTGACAAGACTTTTTTTCAGGATACTCGAATCGATACAAGCGAGCTCTGAAGCTGCACTTGCGCTTGATCATGAGAGATATTATATTGGAATTGTTGATCTCGACCTGACAGGAGACTTCAAGAGTGGAAGTAAGTGTAGGGGAAATCGATGAACGTTGCCTGCCTCCTGCAGGCGCCGTTGGGTACATGTGTTAACAAGTATATATCCGGAACACGTGAATTAGCGATACATATATACTCTGGCAAACTGACCTTGTGCGAGTACCTTTGACCAAATAAATACCTAGATCTTTGCCTTTCATGAAAATTTCCTTTCTTTCAATCTCTCTGCCGAATGATCGTTATCAAATGGTTGGAATTCTTGCAGTTGTAGAGCTGAAGTATTCGGAAAATTATCGCTGCTCCAAATTGGTTGATGATGACTTCGTATCGAATCAAGCCTTTTGAAGATATTGATTTAGGTTTGAAGTAATCACTGCCCATAATATGGGCCAGTCGATGTATTTGAAGCAAATCAAATGTGTGGCCGAGCTCACGAATACTTCGAACCTGCCATCTTAACGCTTGAGTTTTCGAGAAAATTATTGCTCCATATATCCTTGTCTCTGGCCGCAATATGAATTAGCTCGTGATATATAATTGTTCCACAATGTTGAGGGTAACTCTGACCATCCGGACTCGTATATGGGAAGTTATACGTCAACCAATGTTTAGGTTTCTTCGGCTAACTTCCAATCTGTGAGAAATCCACATCTCCTCTGAAGTACTTGGCTAAATTATAGATGGTTGAATGGTTGCTTCGAATTCCTTTCGCTTTGCTGGAATATAATTCTTGTGAAAATATCTAGCATCAAGCCCAAACCATCAAAGAGCTCGAGAATTTGACTATTCGGCGCGATGTATTCGTCAAAGAAGCAATTGCAACCATGGTGAGTGAACAGTTGGGAATCCTCGTATAAAGCAATGAAGCCCAATCCATGTAAACACTCAAGTTGAATGTACCTTGTGTCTGTCTCTGCTTCGAACGTCTAGCTACGGTCTTCCCACTGCCAGAATATTGATCAGTTTGTGTTAAAAAAGAAATCGTGAGAGGGGGGAGATATACCAGTACCAGCACGCCTGTCTATCCACCTACGAGCCCACCTTCAGCTGTGTGATTCCCCATTCCCATATTCTGCATCGTGGTATCCCATACCGATACCGATGCCGCGCTGAAATGAACGACGAACAATTGTTCTCGTTCCCAAACGTCCTCTCATGCGCCTCTCTTCGAATTCGAGCTCTGTACGGTCCCCAAAATCTTTGACAAAGGGCACAAAGTACAGTGTAGGTAGCCATCAGATACATTTAAACCTGTTTGCCCATCCATCTCCCGTCCGCTTCCTATCACCATAGCGATGCAGATAGTTCAACACCGGGAAAAAAAGTTACTGCTTAGTCGTAAACCTCTCACCTAGGCACGTATAAGCCAGTCTCGATCTACTTTCTCTTTCTTCCTTCCCTCCTTCCTTCATCACAAACACACAACTCGCGTCTTGACGAACGTGGAGGCTACGCAACCTCGTCCCCAAGACTACGGGCGTGTTGAACTTCCCTCCCCTCGACAACAAACTCGGTTTTCCCTCAACTGAGGTTCCAGTCAACAGGTATCGTATCCCTTTATCCTTAAACCAATGTTAGTAACTCTGTTTTCCTTTGTTTATCAGTGGGAATTTCGACGTTGGAAATGGGAAAATGAGGTTGGATAACCATACTGATATAAGATGAAGATAGTGTAAACAAAATGGTGAAACATGCCTTTTTGTTTTCAGCTGGGGATGGCTGTCGTCCTCGCAAACACGGCGAACACGAATTGGATCAGAAACCCGAAGAATTGTAAGTACTTAACCTACTTCATGCCTAATCTCTCACTTAATTGTTTCCCTTGTCCGGATCCCTCGAATTTGTTTAAGGCGGCTTCAAAAAAAAAAAAAAAAGAGGGCTTTCGAGTGTCGAAGAATATGGTGTCAAGATCGAAATTACTTGCTCGTGTCAAGAAAGTTGCTAACAGCCAGAGCTCTCGAATTCAAGAATTGCAATGTCCCACATCTTCAGAAACTTTGGTGACAGCTGCTCTTATTGCCGCAAGGTCCCGATTGCCGCGAATCACACAGCAGAACAAGGTGGACCCCCTACAATCGTAGTATTTACACCTTCTGGAAAAGCCAAAACTGTACCCTCGTCCTCAATCACCATTCATAACGACCCAGAAACACTCAAATTACCACTCAGACGCTGTGGTCGTTGCCTGAAAACTCAATACTGCGACTCAATTTGCCAGGCCGCAGACTGGGCCACCCACAGGTTTCTCTGCATGTTGACCGACGGTGCAGTTCCTGAGTCCAGAAAAATCGCGGAGATCAGGGCCTTTATTCCCTGGGTTGGGGAGGAGCACATCTATACCCGTCGAGCATTATATTTCAGCCCCAACGATTTCAAGCCACGCTTCCTCCCGATTCCGTACGTGATGAGAAACGGTATATCCACCCCCACTTGTTACAGTGATATCGTCCCGCCAGGTATCGACTACCACGCTCCGATTTTCCAGGTCATCAATGGCTTCATGGGACTCTTCAAAAATGGGGACGCTGGGAGATTTCTCGACATCCCGCAATCAACGAGTTATCTAGACGAAATCGATGTTGGGAAGCATACCATGAAGTATACAAAATCCGCAATGTTCACCTTCAACGATGCCAGAGGAACGCCTTATGATTTTGGTCATGCGTTCCGTGTCATTTATCTCAACCCCGATCTTTTGCATGACCTTAAACAGAATAACGCCATCACTCAATGCACTGGCGAATCCGGCAAAAGACAATGGGGAGGACCGGTGCTTGTCATTAAGCAAAGAGGCTGGTATCATGGGCGCGGGATGATTATTCATGTCGAGGCGTCTGACATGCGTGATATCATTGACGGGCTCGGATCCGTCAAGCCATTGCGTGATTTGGAGTCCATGACTATGGCGCCTTTATACCATCAGCTTCGACCTGGTGGTAAGGGTCTCCTCGATACCACATCGTGGGGGGGAAAGCAGTTTAGAGGCGTTAATATCCTTTGTGAGGGTGATCGAGACAAGTATACTGGGAATGCAGCTGGATCTCGCGCTCGAATTCAATACATCGACACTATGATTCTCAGCAACCACCCAGCATTCTCAAAGTATGTCCCGGTGAGCCCGCTAGGTGATTTATTCGGCATTCCATTGCGTGTTTGGAAGCTTCCCGACCAATCCCAGGACCCAGCTTTTTCACTCAAAAACGAACCAGCGGCAGCCCTCCTCTTTGATCCCAAAACCATGACTATACCACCCGAATACCAGGATATGGGCTCCGTCTTTGTCGTAGGGCCAGTTCACAACGAGATCTGGGTCGAGGAAGTCGAGTCCTTCGCAGCATATTGTGGCCACATCCTCTCCACTTTCAAAGAATTTTCTACACAGTACGAATCTGCGCCCCATCGCCAGGCCCAGTCTGAGAAAAGGAGGAAGACTGAGTGCCATACCAAGTTTCTCAAGGCAAACAGGGCACTTTTCAAGCCAAAAGGATATTACAAGTGGTGGATGGACTATCGGAAGGAAAGATTGGAGAAGCAGAAATCTGCTAAAGAACATGACCCGATCAAATTTTTCGGTCCGCTGGTTCCACTTGGTCCCGATCAGTGCAAGTGCCAGATGGAACAGCTTATTGATGCGAATACTGATAAAAAACTCGATGGGATGGGATGCTGCCTCTCTTGAATTCTCAACTTGGGATTCTCACTGACTGAAATCCCCTTGGTCTTTGTGTCGGCTGGAGGAGGAAACATCTCAATGATGTATTTCGTGTTTTTCGTCTTGTACTTCTGGAATAATCATGTAAATTTTTTCATTCGACTTGTGCTGTCCACTTTCCTTGGGCGGTACAGAACCAGTCCTGTGGGAAGTATGTTTTTCTTGTACCTTTGGTTTGGCAAAGTAGTATTATGGTGCTTCGACATCTGTCGCGAGAATCGGCAATGACATGAATATATCACGAAGCAAAGTCGAGTCGTCCTCCGAATGTGATTTGATGAAGAAAGCATAGAACAGCATTGAGCAAACGGGGCATTAGAACAGAAGAAGGTGGATTGCCATTCGACTGCCCAAAGTAGACACTCATCTCAAAGGGGAAATGCTAGCCTGGTGTTGGAATTTAGTGTGGGAAATGCTTGGGAAATGTACCGAAAGAGGCTTAAAGCATTCCCGAATGCTCCACACGATACTACAACTTGGTAGCGGTAAGGTGCTCGAGGTACTGTGATACAACTGTCAAATCATTTGGAAAGCTTCAAGAGAGGAGACTGTAAATAGTTAGCTAGGCTCAGACCAAGTGTAGCAAACGTAGGTCCCTAAATTGTTGCAGTCTCGGCGATAAGTGTCTGACAAGAACAAGTGACATCGCGAAGCAAGACTAGTGGGCCACAAGCCAAGGGAAAAAAATCACAAAAAGATAATGACAAGAGTGGGACTTGAACCCACGCAGGTTTCCCTACCAGGAGATGTCAATTAAGGTGTTCCTTAACCTGGCGCCATAACCAACTCGGCCATCTTGCCTTTAATTCATGCTGATTTACGTTTTTTTTGGCCCTAGTTCCACCTCTCTTCCATCATACATACATTCCACTTCACGTTTCCTCGAACATCGCTGTTACCCTGACATGTCACCCAAAAATTTAAATTTCAAGTTCTACATGCGAATCGAGTGCAACTTCAATCTAATTATGTACTTACACAACGTACTATCGTAATATCAACTTCCGATCTATATGAACTCGATCTTCCTACAAGTTCCATTACACAACTTAGAACCTCTCCCACCGCAGGCTTAAGCTTCACTATAAGCTATATATCGCGAGAATAAAATCTCACACAATGCACAAAATTTACAAGTAAACACAAAAACTGTCCACCATATCAATCACAACATCACGACTTTCCATATGAATGAACCATGTATAAAGTATATCATCGATAATGTATTATTTAATAAGGTATATAATAATTGATTTGATCATGTATATCCCAGACGCTCCCATCAACAAAAAAACAAAAAAAGCACCAGAAAAGAATTTCTTCCTCTAAACCGCCCCCTCCACCGTTCCCTAAACCTGAAGATAATCATCCAATCCCGCCCTTCATTCCACTCTTCTCAACCCACTCCCTTCATCCCTCTTCAAAACAAAGCACCAATCCTTCTCCAATATTTTTTTTCCATCGCCAATTTCCTTTCATTTCTGCCGGAAAATACAAATATTATCCCATGATCCGCTCGATAAGAAATTGTCAAAAAAAAGCCATATAGCAAAGGAAAAGGAAAAAAGAAAAAGGAGAAGGATGATGCGAAGATGTTGAGTATCGAAGAGGAATGAAAGGGAAAGGAAAGAAAAAATGGAAAATGAAAGAAATGAAGGAATGAAACTTGAGATTTAGTATTTCACGTTTGAAAATAGTGATATCATGTAAAGATAAATAATGTATGATAAAGGAAATGAGAAATAAGGGAAGGACGACAGAGAACAGATGCCTTAAACAATCATGACGAACTGACCAGCACTGGGGATACCATCGACAACAACGTAGAGGACGTATGGTCCTGGTGGGGTGATGTTCTTGTTTGGTGGGGTGGTGGCAACAACGGTTTGTGCTGTGGCACCTGCGACCCAACCAGTCCTGTCACAGTATACCATACGGTGACCCATGTGAACGGAGTGAGTAACGAAACCTCCGTGATAGAGGACAATCTTGACATCAACGGCAGCGGTAGGAGCAGTGAATGTGACTGTGAATGCAGTGGCAACACCAAGGTTCTTGTTGTTGATGACGACATTGGTTGGGCGGCGGTTGTTGTTGGTGCCAATGAAGTAGGGAGGAGTGTACCTCTCCATGCGGAAGTCAGTTCTGAATGGGGAATCGGTCAAGACTGGCATCTCATTTGGTCCACTGCCGGTGACCAAAACGGTACCATCGAGCAACAACAGAGCAACGGAGTGGTAAAGACGAGGAATAGCGCTGGTGGCAAGAGTAGTGAACCTGGTGCCGAGAGTCTTCAGAGGATCGTACAACAAGGCGGTGGTGGTTGGCTGCTCAGCAAGGTTGAATCCCTGGGCACCACGGTTGGCTCCGTTCAACCACAAGATCTTTCCATCGGGCAAAAGAACAGCTTCAACCATGCCACGTCCTTGGGGCATCGAATCCATCTCCCATGTTGGGGTGGTGGCCTCTGGGGCGATGACACCACAGCTTGGATCGGTAGGAGAGGTAATATCCTGGTAAGAACCACCACCACAGATCATGATCTTGGCCGCCCATCCGTCGGAAGACTTCAAAGGAAACATGACGCTACCACCGGTATTTGGGTATGTGCGGTAGAGACCTGGAAGAGCTGGGAGATTGACTGCGGCTGTCACGGTGGCCATGTTGAGGATCTGAGAAGACTTGGAAGTGAAGATGAACATGCGACCATCACGGAGAAGATGCAAGAATGGGTACATGTAGTATGGCTGGTTGGAAACAAGGATGGGCAAGTTGGTGCTTCCACCCGTTGACACACCCGCGGAGTTCAAGAACTCATAGGTTGGGTTGTTGTTGGCGAGCTGAGTGGGGTCAAGACCGTTCTTGGAACCAGAGACAACAAAGACTCTTCCATCTGCAAGAGTTTGAGCCGAAGGATACCATCTGGGGGAGTTGAGCTTGTTGCCAGGCTCTCTCCAGTCAAATCCAGTGGAACTTGGGCTGGATGAACGACGTGTCAAGTATCGGATAGCGGTAAAGCCGTCGCCGACTGTGGGGTCGAGCCATGTCAAAGGTCCGTTTCCACCAATGGCGATAAGGTCTCCATTTGCAAGGAAGGTACCGCCAGAGCAGAAGGCGTTCGTGGAGTAGGCCAATGGGACGGGAGTGTTTCCGCTGACAGGGTTGTACTCGGAAGAGTATGCGTATTGACCGTTTGCCAACCTGAGTTGAGTGTAATCCTCGACCTTGTCCAAGAAGACAACACGACCGTTTGGCATGAGAGCAGCGTGCATAGCAGGCACACCAGAATCAGCAGTCAGCTGAGCAAAGTTTCCGGGGACGGGGTTCATTGGGGCTGGGGAAGGCCCTGGGGCAGTGCCACCACCACCTGGGGTACCGCCACCAGTGCAAGGGCCGCTCTGGCATCCGGCATCGCAGTGAGCAGATGAGCTTCCACACCATCCGTATTGAGAGCAGCAACCTCCACTACATTTCTTTATTAGTATTCTGAACACTGATACTACGACCGAGTCGGACTTTGGAAATCTTACGTTGGCCAAGTACCACAGATTGTTCCGCCGTTGGCAGCACCGCAGGATCCATCAGTTGTCTGCCCACCGGTTGCCGGGGGAGGGGTTGTTGTGCCACATCCAGACTGGCATCCAGTTCCGCAATGCTATTACGCCGTCAGTAAACTTTCTTCAAACACCTGGTTTTCAAGCTTTGGGAACTAACATCAGGAGTGTTACCACACCATCCGTATGGGGAGCAGCATGTTCCGACACTGCCTGCAGGGCAGATGGTGTTGCCGTTTTGTGAGCCGCACTGTCCGTTGGTAGAGGTGGCTTGACGGGGCATCAACATTGGGAAGGCATCGCGAGGAGAGTTGTGGGGTGGGATGGCGCAAATGCCCTCTCCACCACAGATCTGCCCGCTTGGGCATCCTCGTGTGCATGGGATGACTGGCTGTGGGAATTTGATGTTTGCGAGGACTCCATTGGCAAGGAGGGCGGCTCCGAAGAGCGCCAAGTTCTTGATAGTAACCATCTTGAATGCTGAAAGAGGAACACGCATTAGCCTTGATCGAACTCCAAATTGTAGACCGGGTTTCTTGAGACGGCTGCAGACAGTTGCGGGAGCCTATTTTTAAGTTTCAAAAAAAGACGCAGGGTATAAGGACAGGTATATAGCGGGGCTGTAGGGGGATATTATCGAGTGGAACCAGCTTGATTGATGAGCTCCACTCTACCAATCAAACGGTGAAAGATGAAACGAAGGATGTAAATAGGATATGGAGTGAAAGGATGATGGAGTGAATTCTCGAGATCTCAGGGACTGAGCGGCCACGAAGCAAGAAGCTCATGATGGAGTGGGAGAGGAGATGGAGTGCGCTGAGGACTAACGGGGCATCTGGAGGTGGACAGCTGGAAGCGGTAGTAAGGAGTCTCGGGGAGGCACCAGCAAAGGCAGACACACGTGATGTGCCGGCCTCGCACTGCATCTCCACCTGCTCGCCCGCCCAGCCTGCCCCACCTCCAGCTCCGTTCGGCCGCGCCCGCATTCTCCCCGTGCCGTGGCAGCGGTGGCAGAAAGCAAGCAGCAGCCCAACGCATTCCCGTCCGTCCTCTTGTTCCGACGCCCCACAACCACCCAGCCCCACACTCCACAATCCCCGCCCCTCCATAATGCCCCAGTCTCAAGACTGTGATGCCCCCCGCCGGTTGTTTCGAGGCTGAGATTCCTTTGTTTGTGCATCAAAGCCTTCGTCTATGGTGCACCCCATCCTGAGGCTGTGGGGGGTCGTGAAGATGGGGCAGAGAGAAGAAAGAAGGGACAATCGGTGAAATCGCCGCCAGAGCGAGAGGCAAGAGTACTTACACAAGCTATTTCTGAGTGTTGAAGGTGGTGGATTGAAGGGGGTAACGAGAGTTGCTTGTTGTTGTATATTCCTCCACTATTGCCCAAAACGAATGGCTACGCTGATGAGGCGTGAGAAGCGACAGAAAGCTGGACGAATTATCCAGCACGAGTGTGAGGAAGGCAGGTGGAGCAAGACCAGAGACAGTGAGGGGCGGATGGGACCGCAGGCCTTATCTACTTTCTCTCCTCGTCGAATCTCCACCACCACCACCACCACCACCACCATTCACACACCACCACCATCAGGTGAGTAGAGCTAAGCCGCCGTCCTCCCCTATTTCCTCTCCCCATGCAAGTACGCAGGAAGAACTGACTGAGCACTTCTTTCACCCCAGTCCCGCTCTGCGCCGCTAAAGATGGCTACCGCGGCCACACACCCAGTTCCCAGTGACTGGCGGCGCAACACCGTGGGGACAGCTGATAGCCAATGCATTGCCTCAGCCCAGTGAGGCCTGCTCGCGCCTCTCGCCCTCCACCCCCCAGCAGCTTTCGCGTACCTGAGCACCAAGCTGTCTCATCAACAACACCCACACACACCCTTGCCTCGCCCGATGCACGCTAAAGTTTGCTGGATGGAGGAGCTGGAGGGAGACTGACCAACGGATCCACGGCTTTGCTCTGTTTGCACTGCGGGCGCAGCAAACCCCCCCCCCCCCCCCAAAGAGGGTGGCCCAGTTCAGGCCTTCTCCGATTTTGTTGCCCTGCAACGACCCATTGGCTGCATGAAATTAGGCTTGTCCCAAGGTGGTTCCACAGGATCATCCAAGTAAGCCCTTGTTGTCTCTTGCCTTTGGGCTGGCGAATTTTGGCAGGGGTGTTCAGAGAAAAAAATGGGCCTCCCGAGCAGTTGTTCGGCGGGGGCCCTGAAACTACATACTTTACTCTTCCCTCTACCTAGGTAC